CTACCTTCTCGTATCACTGCATGATGAGACAAGTAAAATTTTCCTTTAGATTCTGATGACACCTTTTCCATATGACCTAGGTCTTCGTACTCCTTCATAAATCCTCTGTAGGGGCCTCGCAGCTCAGGGTTGCGCCGTAGTTTTTTTCTGTAGATAGTAACCTTGCTGTTGCCAGACTTTTGGAATCACCGAGTGATTTATCTTCTTTCAACGGCAATGACACCACTATTCGTCCATCCTCTTCTACTGCTGTCGATTCATCATACATCTGCATACACCAGTCATCTTCCACCGCCGGACTTGCTGGCGTTTCTACCTCCTCGATCTCCCAAAATCTTTCCAAATTAGTCACGGCTGAATGATATCTTCGGGACTTGTTTTCCAGCTGTACCTTGCCGGATAAAATCCAACCTAATTTAGTTTTCTGGGCAAAAGGTCCATTATCCTTTCTCTGGCCTTCATCCATTAGCTCGGAATACAGATCGCCACCGATGATCAAGTCCACTCTGTATGACTTGTTAAACAACGGATCTGCCAATGTATAATTGTTCCATTCTTCTACATTGACCTCGAATGATTCCTCTGGTTGAGCACTCATCACTGATGGTAGCACGAATGCCTCTGTGCGAAAGATTTCGTTGCTTAGAAATCGAGGCTTCACTTCTATCTTAACTTTATGTCTGGATACTCCCACTGGCGTGCTGCCCAGTCCATGAATAATGGTATTATTTTTGATCCGTGGAAGTCCAAGAATCTGAGCAGCTTCCTCTGATATCGATGTTACCTGCGACCCTTGGTCGATAATCGCCCTCATCGTTACATCCTCTCCGGTCATCGATCGTACCTTCACTTGCACTGTAGCGAGTAGTACAGTCGAAGTAGCGCTTGATTCCTTCTTCATCCCAGTATTTTTGTACTTCTTTTGCTCATATTCTTCTCTGCTCCTTCTTCTTCTCTGCTACGGAAATGATGCTCCCTGCTTTCGATTTCTACCGCTATTGGTTTAAGCTCTGCGTTAGCTTCCTCCAGACTAATGCTTTCTCCTCCGGACTGCATTTCTGATGTTTCTGTTTCCGCATTTTTATGCTTATGGATCAATATTTTAATTTCTTCAACCAATTAAAATATTGATCCATAAGCATAAAAATTCGAATAGGCTCGCTTAGCTGGTTTCTAATTTCTACAAATTTGTAGTAGATATCTCTTTGTTGTTCGATGGTATTTTCATTTTTTCCCATTTTTATATTTTATTATTTTGTCACTGGTTCTTTAAAAAAAATAGACTCGAAGGACCAAATGTTTCGCGGGGAGAATGAGAATGAGTTGCTCGACGTCGGTTGTTTGTGCTACACTGATTTTCTTTATTTAATATTTTTTCTTAAGAACTACGAACACAAATAAATCTTAACCTAATATTCTAGTACACAAGAGAGAGAAATATAATATGAGATAAGATGTGTACCCATGCGTATGTACCATACCTGCCATAATCTTATGGGGAGGTCACACACTCACACCGAGTTATCTCCCACGTTGCATACAACACGCTACACATGCTTATCAGTCTGTAGTTTAGATTCCCGTCCGTAATCTAACTCAAACATTCCCCCATGTGACAATTCTTATCTTTTAGTGACCTCCACGACGGAGGCCTCGTCTTTAAATGTGCATGTTATTTTTGTGGACTGTACATTCACAAAATTATGTTTTGTATTTTATCTCCTCTATGTAACTAAAACTGTTCACTTATCCGTGAACATGGAAAATTCTCAAAATATGTTAATTTTCTACAGTTAATTGGATTGTGATTGCCTTGGAAAAACTGTCTATGTATATATAAAACATAAAAAAATTGTTTGTTTGTATGTTACAGATACACGCAAAAATCGCTGAACAGATGTTAATGAGATTTACACAGTAAATCATGACGTGTACTGAAAGTAACATAGGCTATATAAACTTCTAAAATTCCGCGTGCGTATATCATTAGAACGGTAGATACCGTCTTCAAAATTTGTTTGAATAACGTAAGTGTAAATACACATTATCCATACAAAAATGAGCGTGGTACGATTGGGGAAAATGCACTCCCCGTTGCACTTTAATAATTTGCATACAGCCAAAATAACATTTTTTGTTTGATTAGTCAAAAACCGCTCAATAGATTTTACTGAGAATTCTCGAAGTCCCATGGAAGTAAGATATGTAAAATAAACTTTTAAAATTCCGCGATGGCGAAGAGTTATAGCAACAACCGTAATCATACCTCTGAACTAGTATTAATTTGCTATGCACATATCTGAATATTTTGAATAAATCTGTTCATAAAAGTATATATGATACTCATATAAGTACACATCCAATCTTAAATGACCAGAAAGTAAAATTTGGTCTAAATCAGAAATTTTGACTCATAATTTTTTATCCTATTATCAGTATATTATTATCAGTAATTATAATAGCCACTAGTTAAGTAATTCCGCTAACGTCTACTGCTTTCCATCTCACCATTGTCATATTCATACACATTGGAATAAAATGTGTGTAAAATGAAAAATGTTTGACATTATATTTTTTACATTTCGTTATTTAAAAAAAAAAAAACATTTCAGTTTTTGAACTTTTTTTTTAATTTTAATAATTCTACCACCGTTGGAGAATACGAACATGAATTCAATAAAAGTATGCATCAGCAATAATTGGGAGATATCCAGAAGCGAAATGCGGATGATTGATTAAAAGTTATAATAATCTGAAATCTGTGGTGGGTTAACATCATTTTGAAAACAAAATGTGTACATTACTTGAGAAATTAAGTTTAGTTGATCAAACGGATATTACTAAAACTATTATTTCGAGGATGCATAGAGGAAACTACTTACTCAATAGCCACAAAATTCTATCTTGGGACTTGAAATTGGTTTGCTAAAAATACCAAGTAAAGAAAGAGTTAAGTTAAGAACATGATACAACCATGAGTTAAGAAGAAGACTAAATCAAAGTTCGTTAAAAATTTTACAATGTGAATGGATCCCAGCCATATAATGGGAAATCAGATGAGAATACAGTCATAAAGGTAGGTGGTAATGCGAATGAAGGATTTTATTGGTCTTTGAACGATTAATGCAAAACAAGTGAATATTGTAGAAAATATATTAGTGTATAATCCTGTTGAGACAATTCAAGCTGTTTTAAATCTATATATATATTTATATATAATGTCATCATATTTATTTTTTAGTTTTATACAAGAAATTTCAGAAAAAAATTTGGGGGTTATTCTTCTATTTTACCCGAATTTCGCCGAAAAATTGACATATATAAAAATAATCACTTCTTGTGTATAAGTATACACCTTGTGGATTGTAGCAAGACCCTTCCGATAAATTGTGGGAGCTATAAATAGGAAGAAATCTTAAAATAAAATAATATTATGAAATATACATTTTAAATTGCGTCTAAATCGCGTAATTCTCAAAATCATTTGATGCGCATGCGGTTTCCAGGAAGTACTAAAGTTTATTTTCCAATCCATATATATTTTTCGAAAAATTTGATCCGAGAAATAGGTTTTTTAGAAATTTGATCGCACAAAATGTTCACCTTCGGATGAGTATAACTTTGAAGCTGTGCATACTACATAGCCAAAAGATATATCAAATTACTTAGATTCGAGACTAGAATAATCTTATAATCGATTTTTAGAAATTCCAGTATAGGTATTAAAGCTAGAAGTAAAATTCAAAAAACACTCAAAATCAGCATCATTTAAAGGTAGATGCAAATACAATTTTGAAAAATGCTACATAAGGGGCGTAGTCCCCATTTTGTTGGCTTCTAGTTTTACTTTGACACGAAGACAGTGAAAAGAGTGTCTTAATCACAAATCGATAGAGAACATAAAAAAACTGGTTCGCCTCAACCTGTTTTTAAACATTTTTTTACATTAAAGTAGACACAGCTTCCACCAAAATAAAGTTTGGAGATCGATATCATGAGCATGCAACGACAGATCAATTAACCCAAAACTATTCACTTTCTTTCATATACTTAAGTAATTCCCGATATATAGAGGGGTGAACCTCCGCTTCAGCTATGTTAAAAAATTGGCAATATTGCCCATATATATATAAATGGAGCCAAAAAATGTATACTAACGCATCAATTGAGAACGGCTGGACCGATTTGACTCAACATTTCTTTCAGTTGTCGGTAATTATTGTGGGAAGGTTTTTATGAAAGAAAATTTTGAGGAAAATCTTGCAAAAACTATTTTAAAGAAACGACTGGACCGATTTGACTAAAAGTTTCTGTTAGTAGTCTGTAATGGAAGTGGAAAGGTTTTAATGAAAGAACATTTTGAGAAAAATCCGCGAAAATGTTGCAAAATATATTTTGAAAGATATTAGCATTTCCACACATTTTATATCGAACCATTATGGTTTCATCTTTTCGTAGCTCTTTTTGGACATATTTTGGGCGAAGATGGGCAGCGTATATCTTTAAGTAATTGTCAATTATGGAAAATTCTCAAAATATGTTAATTTTCTATAATTAATTGGACTGTCATTGCCCTGAAAAAAACTATTGGTTATATTTTATATTTTCATTAAATTTATTATTTGCTCACGTTTTCCATAAAATCAAGATTTATTTATTTATTTCATGGTATATATAGATTGTGAATTTTTTCTCAAATAAAACACAGTAAGACACGGCAGAGTAAAAATTAAGCGGTTCCATCATGTGGAGCCTATACCAAAAACTATACCGGCAATTATGAGGGAAGTTTCTTACCCTATGTGGTGACCGAAACTTGATAGTGTCCTTAATAGGAAACAAGACCAGGAATATTTTTATTTCGAGCTTTAATGTTTAAATAAATTGTTGTTTTTTAAGACATATTTTTTGAGTTAGTTAGATTAAAACTTCTAATTTCATAAAATATGTGTATGTTCTAATACTCATAATGCGATCATTAACATCGACGAAAGTAATGGTAATGATAGCATTATTAGTATTACCATCAGATGTTTGAAGTTTTGTCTTATTTTCTTTAGAGCCCAAGCTGTTGGATATGAAATCTAATTTTCATATTTGTCAAAAAAGTGTATTATTTTTTCGGCAATGTTTTTTTTTGCCCCACAGATTGAAGTTTGGTTGTGAACGTATGTAAGCATAAAATTCCAATGTTAAATTAAAATCAAGTTGTTAAAAGATATGAGGATATAACAAATCCGATTACAACATTTACGGTTTAGACTTAAGATATAAAACAGGCATTTACAATTAAAAGAAGGTATACGGCGTCAACATTGGCCAAACTTTTCACATATACAAATCTATAACAGCAATCTGAAAACTATTTGACAATTTGTTTAAAAAAGAAAAAAACCTATAACTGTGCGGAAATCACTAAATTTATATGCCAAATCTAAAATTGTTCGAGTTATATACAGATTTCAATATAAAAATCAAAAGGACAGTTGGACATGAACAAAATGATATTGTAATTAAGAATCCTTCAAGAGGGGACAAATTAGATAATGTAAAAAAGATGTAGCAATAACAAAAAATGATCTTCTATTGAAAAAACATTTGGTGAAATAAGTTCTACCAAATTTTAAACTGTCATGTGCTTGGGCCTGCAGTGGCAAATGTTTTTACCAACCTTATATTGATGCAATATTGATAAGGCAAAACAACGTTTGCCGGGTCAGCTAGTATAAAATAATTTTGCTGACCTATGTAAAATGTTTGCAACAAAGAAAAGAATGTTGAACATGCTGACGAACAAAAGAGAATTGATATTCTCACATACCAACATATCGCAAATTCGTTAATTGTTTATAAAAATCATTTTGCGGACATAAGAAAAAGAACCCTAAATAGAAAAACAAAAATCCACCAGACTGATCGCGATTAAACATGGTGACAAATTTAGAATAAGAGACACAATTCGCGCTTTCAGTCTACCCAATTAAAAAAAAAGAACCAAACGGCTTCGAAACACCTAATCGATCAAAGCGACATCTATATTCCTATTTTAAAAAAGG